GCCATGAGCCAGATGTTACAGGAAACCATGTACTGGTCCTGTTAGTAATTTCTAATGGTATGATCGAAATAAACATGGGCTTTGGAGTCAGACCTAGGTGTGTGGGTGTGAGTCCTAGAACTGATACTTGTTGAATGATGTTTTGCAAGTTACTTAGCTACTTTGCTTCTCAGTTTCTTTATGTGAAAACACTTTTGGGAATGGCTAAAGTCAAAAAGATTGACAATATGAAGTGTTTGAAGGATCTGGTGCAATTAGAGCTGTTACACTTTGCTGAAGGAGTCCCAAATGGTATAGTCACTTTGGAAAGCAGTTTTTAAAAATTTAAACATGCACTTATCATAAGACCCAGTAATTCTACCCCTAGTTATTTTCCCAAGAGAAATGAAAATATATGCTTACACAAATACGTACATGTGAATGTTTATAGCAGCTCTATTCATAATCATCAAAACCTGGAAACAACCCATATATTCATCAATTGATGAATGGATAAACAAATTGTGTTATATCCATACGATAAAAAGGAATGGACTACTGATACATGCAGTAACATAGTTGAGTATCATAATTTTTATGTTAAATGGAAGGAACCAGACACTGAAAGCTGTATACAGTGTGATTCCATTTCTAATAACATTCTGGAAAAAGCAAAACTATAGGGACACAAACCAGGTAAGTGGTTGCCAGGCAACTGGGAGTAAGGAAAAGGGATTGACTACAAAAGGGGAATGAGGGAATATTTTGGTGTGGTGGAAATGTTCCAAATCTTGTTTGTGTTAGAGGTTGCATGACTATATTTTGTCAAAATGATGAACTTTACTGTATGTAAATCATATCCCAATAAAAAGAAAGGGAAAAAACCTTGTGTTCAGAGTGGTCATGGAAATTATAAGAGATCATCTTCCTCGCCCATTTTTTCTGCTGCTTGGTTCTTCATTATCCTCTGTTGCTTCTGTGTCTCTTATAACTTTGGGGTCCATGATAAATTGCAATTTCTTATTTCAAAGCTGAGATACTACAGAAAATTGATGTCTTTATCTTTTTCTGCAATCTGAGTCAGATTTTAAGCGGAGTGATCAACTGTATTTTTATACTTCTAGATATTCCAGTTAGTACTGCATAACTCAGAGCTGGAATTGGCAGACTCTGTAAAATATACCAAATATGCTTGCTTTGACTGGATTCCTCATCTCTGTTCTGTGGCAGTGGGAATGTACAGTACGGTTGGGAGGGTATTTAGAGCAATCTTGAATTTTGAGCCTGGAGTCCTGCTTGAGAAAGGCTTCCTCCACTTCTCAGCAAACAATTGTTCTATGCCAGGGGTTCTCAAACTTGAGTGAACATCAGAATCACCTGGAGGAGTAATTAAAACACACATTTCTGGGCTCCACCCACAGAGTTACTGAGTCAGTAGGCCTGGGGTGGGACCCAAGAATTTTGTATTTCTAACAAATTTCCAAATGCTGTTGATGCCCCTGGTTTGGGGCACACACCTTGAGAACCACCGATTTATACTTACTCTGGTGTTGCAGTATCAAAATTCCTGCCTACATAGAGTAGCCAACATTTTGTTCAAAAACCACTTAATCATTTATTTCATGGCCACTTTTGTATTGGGTAAAACCTAAATATATGTATATTTATATATAGACTATATATATATATATATATATATATACATATATATGTATATATATATATATATATATATATACATATATATGTATATATAGAGAGACAGACGGACAGTAAGCATTTGGCTAGAGGCTACAAAGATTTGATGCTTAAAGACAGAGAAATGGCAAGACAAAGGAAAAAAAAAAGGTATGTCTAGCTGTATGCCTTCCTCTTCACCTCTTGAGTGTCATCCTACTATATCATAATTATTTTATTCCCCTAGCTAAAGGCTCCTTTTGTACTCCCATTCTCTCTACTTTAAAAGCTCTGAGGACTCTTACCAGTCCTCCTCTGTGCATTGCCCTAACATATTCTCAGTTAAGACTTTTCACTTCCTACTTTGTAATAAATAGGCCCAGCCTCCACACACTTAGGTTTCATGATTGTATCCTTTTTTTTTTTTCAGACCGATAATAATTTTCACTGAATGAAACCAAAGTACCATCAGCTGCCCAAATTGAAACAGTCTGGGATGTGTGGGTGACTGATTTCAAGTAAACAAATAGAAATCATGGTCTTGTATCAAACACTTCCCTAGACCAAGAAGCAAATAATCCTAGTAACTTTAATAGCACTAGGTATAAAAAGAAAGGGGTAAAATTTAGAATCTTTAAAGAATTTGTGAGTGTTAAATTTAAGGAAATCATAGATTATTTCATCTTTCCAGATGCCAAAGCAGATACTGAGGGCTGTATATATAAATTTGTTCAGAATTTCTGTTATTTTAAGGTTGCTGTAGGGTATTTTCTGCTGTTAGGGTATCTGCTGATTTCTCTCTGTGATAGATTAAATACAGTATTTTATGTTTAGAGAGCTGATGTCCTTTTCTCCTTCTCCTACCATCCCACTGATTATCGAGTCTTTAGAGAAAATAGCTCATTGTACTGCTTGATTACATGCCTCAATTGAATAGTAGCTTGCTGCCAATTATCATTACAATGCCATATTGATTTTTTTCTCATTTCCTCTGTGGAAATTAAAGCAGAATTTGTTTAAAATGAGTTTCCAGGGGCTTCCCTGGTGGCGCAGTGCTTGGGGGTCCGCCTGCCGATGCAGGGGGCGCGGGTTCGTGCCCCGTTTCGGGAGGATCCCGCGTGCCGCGGAGCGGCTGGGCCCGTGAGCCGTGGCCGCTGGGCCTGCGCGTCCGGAGCCTGTGCTACGCAAATGGGAGGGGCCGCAACAGTGAGAGGCCCGCGTAACGCAAGGAAAAAAAAAAAAAAAAAAAAAAGGAAAGGGAAAGGACTTGTCTAAGGAAACACAGAAATTTAGGGGCAAAAAT